CACAGAATCTGAAGCAGGCTCCAGGCTCTGAGCTGTCAGCAGAGAGCCTGATTCAGGGCTCAAACCCACGAACTGCGAAATCATGACCTGAGCCAAAGTCAGAGGCTTAACTGACTGAGCCACCCAGGCATCCCTAATAAAATACTTTTATGTTATTTCCTCATATTCCTACAACCACCACTCTCCTATTTCTCTGCTCTACTTTGCAGCTCAACTCCTCAAAAGAGTTGTCAGTCATCACTGTTTCCAATTTCTCTTTTCCTACTCTTGATTGAAAACACTCTGATCCGCCTGTATGCCCCTGCATCTCCATGGAAATTGTTCTCAAAGGCCATCAATGACCTCCACATTGTTAAACACAGTGATCAATTCTTTGTATTATTACTAGTCTAGTCAGTGGGATTTGAATAATTGGTCAATCCCTCCTTCCACTGAAGAAAGTGGTCAAACCTCCACTTTCTTCAGTTGGGTCTACATTCTGCTGGCTTCACCCTACCTCGCTGTTCCTTCTTTCCCAGTCTCATTTGCTGTTTCCTTTTCATCTGTCCCACCTCTAAATGTTGGGCTACTCATGGCTTGGTTATTGGGTTGCTTTGCTTTTTCTATGCTCACCCCCTGATTGACCTTATCCTGTCTCATGATTTTTAATATTGAGTACATGGTATTCTTTCTCCAATTATATCTGCAGCACTGATGTTGTCCCTGAACTCCACACTCCTTCATCCAACTGATCCTATTACTGTCTTTCTCAATTCAGTTAATGTACCTTCATCCTTCCTGTTCCTCTGGCTAAAACCCTGAGAGCTGTCCTTGACTCCTGTCTTTCTGTCATAGCCTAATACCAATCTGTCATCAAAACCTATCCAGAATCTGCATACCTCTCACTGCCTCCACTGTGTCACTTGGTGTAAAACACCATTGCCTCTCACCTGGATTATTTCAAGAGTCCCAAAATAGTCTCCTGCTTCAACTCTTGTCTTTCTTTAACCTTTTCTTAGAGATCAGCCAGAGCGATCACTTGTATGAAAATAGACATCACATTGCCCCTCAAGGTCTCTCCATATCACTCTAATAGTCAAAGGCCTCACAATGGGATTCAAGGCCCTGCACAATCTCTCATCACCCTCTGTTGAAGCCTCCCTAGCTTCATCCCCACTGTCCTCCTCTCTCAGTCCCTCCAGTGCAGCACATCAGCCTACTGGTTGCCCCCAGGATGTGCCAGGCATGCCCCTGATTCCAGGGCTCTGGCACATGTGGATCCCACAACCTAGAGCATTATGGCCCCTCATATCCTTTGGGTCTTGACTCAAATGCCATCTCCTCAGTGGGGTCTTCCCTGACCACTGTATCTAAATACTCCACACTCCAAGACCCTTCTCTGTTTCATTGTTCTCCATAGCACCAATCATTACTTAACATCCCATATCTTTGACTTCTTTGTTTTCTTGTCTAAACTTCATGAGGATAGGACTGTTTGTTTGTTTTATTGGCTCCTGTAATCCCAGGTCCTAGAATACTAGCTGGCACATAATAGCACTGAGTAAATACTTGATGTCTTAATTTGCTTGGCCTGCCATGACAAAGTACCACAGGTTGGCTTCAACAACAGAAACTTATTTTCTCATAATTTTGGAGGCCAGAAGTCTGGGATCAAAGCATTGTTAGAATTGGTTTATTCAGAGGCCTCTCTCCTTGGCTTCTAGATGGTTGCTTTCTCCTGGTGCCTTCACATGGTTTCTCATATGTGTGCCTGTGTCCTAATCTCCTCTTCTCATATGGGCATCAGACAGATTGGAGTAGGGCCCACCTCAATAATGTCATTTTAATTTAATGACCTCTGTAAAGACCTTATCTCCAAATATACTCACATTCTAAGGTAAGGGCGTTAAGAGTTCAATATGTAAATTGGGGAGGGCACAATTTAGCCTATGATACTTGATTAGTTGGTTAATCAATGTACAAAGATGAATTGGGGCTCTTATGGGCTAAGGATCAGTGTTTAGACTCAGAGATGTGGTGAAGCTTGGTGAGGATATAAAGGGAAGGGGGGCAGAAGAGATCATAGAAGAGTTCAATTCTGAGATGGATGAGGGTTGGGTAGAGAATGAGGTGCCAAAAGTGAGTGAGGCTGGAAGAGGGTACTTGTCTCAGACAAAGGAAGAGACACAAGGATAGGGTTAGGGAGATGCCATGTGGAGGAAGATGATGGAATCAGTGCAGCTGAGAGGTGAGGAAAGGAGGGACTGGCCACGGCTCACAGAGGGGAGGAGGAGAAGAATCAGGAGTGAGCTCACCCTAGAGCAGTAGGGTGGTTCAGATGCTGGGATAGGATCGAGGATGTTGAGAATGTCACCAATGGGCAAGATTGCCTGTATACTTTGTGGGCCCCAGTGCAAAATGAAAATGCATGTCTCTTTTTCAAAAAGTATTCAAAAAGAATTTCAAGATGGAGACAGCAGAACCTTAAACCAAGTATAGAGAATGCACCCTTGAAGCTGGTCCTGCATGATGGGATATGGATCAGGAAAAGAGGCAGGTGAGAAGTTTGGAGAAGGTTGGGTAAAAGGTCTTTTCTCTTCTACTGTATTGGGAATTTTTAGTGAAATATGATCTGCCTTTTGCCATATTTTATTATTATTAGCAACTATACACTCTTTCAGAGGTGGATCCTTCCACAATCCTTAGTGCCCTACATATATGATTTGGATGTGTGCCAAGGTATGTTTATTGAGATCACCAGTGTAGCAAATAAGAGAAGGGTGCATGTTGGCTGTGATGGAGGAGAGAGAGTGAAAGAGAGAGAGTGAAAGCTCACAGGGAGACTATGGTATCACTCTAGGATTTGGATAATGAGGATCTGGACTGCACCAATAATCTGGGGGAAGTGCAATTTGGTTGGAAAATAAAGCTCCTTGAGTGTACCAACCTGCCACATGCCTAGCCAAGGCAGAGAAGCCAGTGACCAAGCCTTTCCCACCTGGTGCAGACCAGGGGATATTCAGACCAAGGTCTCAAAGCAGTTTTTGGGAGGATGGAGGCCTTCATCCCTCCCAAGGTAGTCCCTGGGAGTGCCTAGAGCCCTCCTGAGGGGAGTTAGAAAGCCTTCTGAAGAAGCCAAGGTCTGGAGTTAGCCAAGAGCCAGGTTCACCTCAGGGAAGAAGCAGGGGCCAGAGCTGCTGGTAGTGTTGGGAACAGCATCTTGGTGGTAAGTTGAAGACTGACCTTCAGTCCAGCTCCTCACATCAATTGGGCCTCTCTGACCTCAGCACTGTCAGCATCTGTGAGCCTGCTGTGGATGAGGCTTTGTGTTGGATGCAAGGGACACATGAAGAAACAAGGTCCCTGACCCCAAGATAGAGGAGGAAAACGTGCAGCTCAGGTGAGCAACGGAATGAACTTGACGCAGTTGGCTGCCAGCAAAAGCTGACCTGTGTTAGGCTCATACTTCAGCACCAGGCACACTTGATGTGTTATCCCATCTGTCCTCTTCACCACCTTTGAGGGAGGTACTATTATCATCATTCTCCTTTGACAGGTGAGGAAACTGAGATGCAGATAGGTTAAATCACTTGCTCGGGACCACAGCTGATCTGTGGTCTGGTCAAGTGGTGAAGCAGACAGCAAGCTGCAGAAGGGCTGCTCTTCTCCCTTCCCGCCCTTGGAATCTGCAGACAGAGTGCTGAGAATGGAACAGTCAGCATGGGTGGGGGCAGAGAATCCTGCATGACCTGAGTACAGATGTCATCTGAGCTATGTGGGAAGAATGAAAGCATGTGCACAGAGGCTGAGAGTGGGAGGAAAGGCATTCTGGGCAGGGAGGGAACTAGAAGCTCCGGTGGGGGTGCTGAGAGAAGTGCAAAAGTCACAGACCCTAGCCTCACACATTGAAACTTTGTGCAGTTACCTGTGCACATGGTTAAGATTGGCATGGGGACCTGGTGGTGGGCTAGGAGACCCAGGAAGTAAGTTTCTGAAGAGATCCAAACCACCTCTCTCACCAACAAGGGTCCAAGCTCTCTCCCCCTGAACTGAGAGGAGCTCTAAAACATATGCAGCCCTTGGGGCCCCAAAGGAGCCCCACTCCTATCCCCAGGTGATCTTGACTTTTTTCCATGAAAGCTTGCCCCACAGGCCAGGGAGTGTGGCCCTCCCTCCTGCTTTCATCCAGGAAAACATAGAGGGGCTGTACTGGGAAAAAAAGGGCTTCTGTAGCCCTGCAAGAGCAAGCAAGCCAGAGGAAGACTCTGAGAACAGGCGGCAGATATGGAGGGGCAAGCGCCATTAGGAGTGGGGGAAGGAGAAGGAGAGGGAAGGGCAGGGACAGGGAGGGGCAGAGGGACTGTTGAGCTCTGAGAGCTGGACTGGGAGAGGTCTGGGGTGATGGAGGCCTCTCCCCCTATTTTCCATGTCCCTGGCGGCAGGGCAGGTTGGTGTTTCTCTGCCTGGAATGGGTGTGGGGGATAGTTCAGGGCATGTCTTCTCAGGATCATTCTGCCCCAAACACCAGAATAGGGAAAAGGGTGGGGGTGGGGCGCCCACTCCAGTTGCAAAGTGGGCTCCAGAGGTGCAGAGAACAAAAAGAACCCAGAAAACCCAGCAGGGTGCACTGGACCCCTCCTCGGAAGCTTTGGCAAACTCATACCCCGAGCTCCCCCAGAACCGTCCTGCCCTCCCTCAGCATTCCACCTCTTTGCGTGGTTCTCCTTGGACTAGTGTCATCTACCAGCATCTGGTCCTGTCAGCTGAACGTCCCATAGCGCGGCCTCCTGAGCCCCTTCCCCGCCCCACCCCCACCCCCACCCCCGGCGCTCCCCTTCCTCTCCCCTTTCTGCGCCTTAAGAGTTTCCCAAGCCCATTTCCTCCTTTATTTCGCTGCAGCCCCGCGAGGGAGGCAGGATTCTCCCCATTTACCAGATTTGACAGGAGAGAAGCCTGCCGTCCTAGGGCAGGGTGGGGAGGAGGTAAGTGAAGAAGCCAAGGTCACCCAGTCATTGGCAGAACGCAGCCTCAACCCAGCCCTTCTGCGGGCTCGCTGGAGCCCTGCTAGGTGGGCCCAGGCTACTGGCCTGAGCCCCTTCTTTTCTCGGCTGGCACTCGGGGGCGGGCTGGCCACAATGACAGGTGAGCCTGGGTAGGGGACAGTTGGGGAGGGTTCGCTGCGCGGGGCCCCCTGGCGCGTGGGCCTTGGGAGCGGCTGCCCCAGCCCGCTATAGCGCCTGGGCTTCCG